GTGGATTATAGTAGTTACGGTAGAATATATATTCCGAAAATTGGTAGAATATAAAACAAACATTAGAACGTGTACTCTACCAAATCAATTAAATCGTAGAATATAGAGTAATGAGTAGAACCTATATTCTACGGGTGCGTAGATATATCAATAATCCGTAGAACCTATATTCTAAATACAGTAGACTCAGACCAATTTGTAGAATATATATTCTACTACCCCGTAGACGGTAGAATTTGATTTCTGGAAAAGGTAGAATAGAAAATTATTTTCAATTCTAACCATATTTTAAAAATAAAAAAATATACTTATATTCTTCCCAGTGACTCTTTTATTGTTTTGAATTTTTCTAATTTTTTTGGCTGTTAAAACTATTTTAATGATTTATTAGAAATGTCAAAAGGGCAAATTAGGTAAAAATAGAGAAAGGGGTAGTAGGACAAAATCAAATCAAATTTGACCCATTTACACAATTTTCCCATATTTTTATTTAATTGCGTGGATCTCAAGAAATTTTGATCATAAATTAATTTGCCTGACTGTATGCTCTCACCATGTTACTGATCCTTTCAAACTTTTGCAGGGTTCATAATAACAATGGTTCTAAATAATAAAAAGATGCTAGAGTTAGGTTCTTAAAATATGAAACTGAGAAACTTTATTTTAAGTAGCCATCTCTGTTTGCTTTATCACCAAAGCAAACGATGCTGCATGATCGTTTCTAAGTTGACTCAACAACTCAGGAGGACAGGGGGTGACGAACCCCGCTAACTTTCTTAAATACAAAAATGTACAAAGAAGACAGCAACAAAGTGCGTGAGTCTCACAGAAGAACAAAAAAAAAAAATTTAGGCTTCAGCCCCGAGTTCGAGCAGTAAGGTGTAATTTAGCGCATCAGATCCCGGTCCCTTGAATTGAATCGGTCCTAACAACGAAAACAAGAGAGTTAACATGAAATAAACCCCAAAAGAATGAAATCAAGCACTACTTTTTGCAGATACATGTGTATGTAAACTAACCAGGACTAATGTATCGATTCTTCAAAGCCCATTCTTCCCGCTGCGACGCAAATTTCTTGAACGGTGCGCCTGAAATTTATCAGAAGCCATGAGTTAAAAAGAGAAACGAGCCAACGGCCGGAGAATAATATTTAAGTTTTGCGTTAAAAGACTTTTACCTTCAAGTTCAACCATAGCTTTCTTGATAACAGGCTTGAATTTACCATGTCTTCTCTCAACATCCATCAATGAGGTTAAAGCGGTACCACTAACTGTCCATTCTTCAACAGGAGCAGCCAAATTCCCAACCTGCAATGAAAAAAAAATGTAAATAATCTTGAAATAATGAAAAAGTTCTTGATATTTTCAAGAAATGGAGAAAATTTGAACCGATGAAATTAATCCGGTCTTTCCACTTTGGAGAAGTGATCCAGCACCGTAACCCAATGCGTAGCAATAAGTTGCATCGAAATTAGTAGGCAACCCGCATCTTCCCTCATACCTAAAACACATGAGAATAAGCTTATGTTGAAGCTAATTATGTTAATTAACAGATATGTTTCAAGGCTAATTAATTACCCAAAGAAGTGTGATTTTCCCATGAACTCGCGTTTGTATGTTCCTTCCTTCTTCTTTTTCTCCAACTCGGTTTCAACCATTTGAATTAGCATTTTCTCTGTTTCTATTTTAGACACCTGGAGAGAATATTAACATATAGATGCAAGATAACTCGGTATTAAGTTCAGTTTTATTTAGCAAAATGTTTAAAAGATTTCAAAAGAAATTTAGTTTTAATCAGTTTATTTTCTTTCCATGGAAACAGTTTATTTCCTTCATGGTTCGAGTTTTTAAATCAGTTATTTTTGGCAGAATTAAATCAATTAAACAAGATGGTACCAACAAAAACAAACCTGGACATTTCCATGTGGATCTCTCTCAAGTACTAGTTG